CTTCTTCTTCTTCTTCTTCTTCTTCTTCTTCTTCTTCTTCTTCTTCCCTCCATCGTTCCCAGCATTCGGCTCTTCTCCAGGGAGTCCTTCTTTCTCATGAGGTAGCCAAAGTCTTTGAGTTTCATCCCCAGGATCTGACCTTCTAAAGAGCAGTCAGGGCTGGTCTCCTCTAGGACTGACCAGTTGGATCGCCTTGCAATGCAAGGGACTCTCTGGTCCCTTCTCCTCCAGCACCAGAGTCCAAAGGCCTCCATTCTTTGGAGCTCAGCCTTCCTTATGGTCCAACTTTCACAGCCCTACATTGCAACTGGGAAAACCACAGCCTTGACTATAGAGTCAAGTGATCTAAATAAGGATGTTCCAAAATCTATCGGGTATGAAGGTTTAAAAGGCTGACAGGCCGAGAGACGCTCAGCTGATCAAGCCGTTTTTCAGTTCTGTTGAAAAGAATCAACTCGCTTCTGTTGAAAATACACACGTAAACACACACGCATACACAAACACACATCTGTTTCAACGGTCCCTCTGGATTTCTGGCAACCCCAAAGAGGAAAGTAAACAAGATCAATTGCAGGGAATTTAGCGGAGAGGAAAATAATAATAAAAACAGAACCAGGATGGTTAGTCTGGAGAAAAGAAGGACCAGTGAGGGACACGATAGCAGTATTTCAATATTTGAGCGGCTGCCCCAAAGAAGAGGGGGTCAAGCTATTCTCCAAAGCACCTGAAGGCAGGAGGAGAAGCAACGGATGGAAACTAATCCTAATCGAAGAGAGAAGCAACCTGCAATTAAGGAGAAACTTCCTTAACGGTGAGGACGATTAACCAGTGGAACAACCTGCCTCCAGAAACTATGGGTGCTTCATCACTGGAGGTCTTTAAGAAGAGATTGGACAGCCACCTGTATCTGAAATGGCATAGATGCTTGAGATGGTTGGACTAGAAGACCTCCAAGGTGCCTTCCAGCTCCATTCTGAAATCTATATAAAGGAGCAAATACAGTCTGCAGTTCAGCTTTACCAATGGACCACAGTGTCTTCTAGTGTACATCACCAGCAGCCGTTCACTTTCCCTGCCCTCATGAGATCTAGAAGCTTATTCTCTTTAAGTGAATTATTTCCCCGCTTCAGAGCTGCACCCCACTGTCTCCGGCAGCAAAGCAGAAGAGGATATCAGATTGATGTTCTTAGGGTGCCCCAAGACTTCCTCCCCCACCCTCCCTCTACGCACAAATCCGTCAGGCCACCCCACAAATCTGAGGAAGGCGACTGGCCTTGTCTTGTTTTTGAAAAACAACCTGTTTTTCTTTTTTTAAAAAAAAAAACAAACTCTTGGATGACCACATCTTTGGCATCGTAGCTCCACACAGGAGGAAGGAAGAAAAAGAAAAGAGAGTGCCCAACACGCACACGCACAATTCCGATTCGAAAGCTTGGCACAATCCTACCCCCCCCACCTCAACTGCAGAGGGAGATCCTATGGACGTCAATAAGCCGCCCGTTGCATCCCATGGGCAGTGGAGCTGGCTATCATCCTGCAATGTTCCATCCTTCTTTTTGGAGCGGGGGAGTAGCGCAAAGACGAGGGGTAAGATTGGGGCCTTCCCAGACCCTGTCTTATAACTCCACCCGGATAGTTGTGGTGGTGGTTGTTTATCCCTTATACGGCGAAATACCGGAGCACCCTGCAATTTTCGGCTGGCTGCTGAGTACCCAAATCAGACCTCAAACACCCAAATATCTACTGGGCGGTTGTAAGCCTCGTATGTTCCAACCTTAACGTCTTTGCTGCTATTGCTTGTAGTAACCTTTGTGGCGATCATGCTACCTTTCTAAGGAAGGGCGAGCATTGCTCTTCTGGAAGGACAACAATCTTAAAAGAGGGAGATTTGCACAAACACACACACACACACAGAATTGCAGAATAAAAGCATTTCTCAAACCCACCCCTGCAAACTGCAAAGCAACAGTCGAGGGTGGTTGTTTTTTTTAAAAACCACACCACCACCTCTCTCTGGATTTTGCTTGTCGTGTCTGGGTCTCCCACTCTCCAAAATGTTAGCCAACGTGAAGAGCAGCCAAGAGGTGGGGGACATCTGCTGTCCCAGAAAGGAACCCCAAATGGGAAGAAATTGCTATTCTTCTTCCATTTCCCTGCAGGGAGAAAACTAGCCTGCCAGGGATGCCTTCCAAGTAGAAATCTAGCGAGTCAGGGTTGTTGTTTTCCTCAACCTGTCCTGTTTTTTTTTTTCAGCGTGTGAAGAGGGTGTCTCTCTCTCTCTCTTTCTCTCTTTCCCTCCCTCCCTCCATTAAACCCCCTCCCCAATATACGTGCTTTCAATTGTGATTAAAGGGAGGGATTTTAATTGTTCCCTCCACCCAAGCATTTACCGTGAGGGTAACACCCGTTGAGGCTTACCTGTATCCTGACGGAACTGGTGCATGGATTGTAAATCTATAATGTACGGAGAGAGCTGGGCATCCACCTGTCCGAGCACCACGCTGCCCCGAGCATCTTCTTTCAGGATGTTCTCGATGTGGTGGCAGACGGCCGCCGTGTAGGGCCTCCACCGGCTGTGCTCATTCAGCCATTCCCACACCACCACCCGGGCCATGTTGGTGGGGGGGAAGCCCAACCCGTTGGCAAAAAGCAGCGCCCCCGGACCAGGCCTTGCCATGCTGGCGATGCTGCTGTTGCTGCTGCCTTCTGTGGGCCAGGCATGGGAGGCTGGCGGGGTCCTTCTCGCCTCCTTGGGGTGCCCCAGGATGGGTTTAGGAGTAGTTTATCCCCCCCCACACACACACCCTGTTTCTCAGGCTCTTCTCTTCTCTTCGCGTCCAAACTGCAGCTCCATCCAGCCTTCGGCGAGATCCGACGGGACTTGCGCGAAGAAGCAACGATCGGCCAAGATGCCCTGGGCGGGGAAGCGGCCAGTTTCCCAGATCCGGTCAGTTTCAAGCAGAAAAGATGAATGGAGTTTTCCAGGTCCTTTTGAGGCAGGCGGGAAGAAGAATGTAGTGGAGCGGAGGCCGGAAATTCCCAAAGTCCATCTTTTCAGAAAGGCAGTTCGGAAAGAGCCAAAGGGGCTCAGGTGCCTGTTTTTTTTTTTCTGCAGCAGCTTTTGTTTTTTTCAAGGCGGGGGCGGGGGGGGGGGCGGGGGCGGGGGGGGGGGGGGCCGGGGAGGGGGGGGAGGGGGCAGCAGCGAGGTCTCTTCCTTCCCTTCTGCTGAGAAATAGATGGGAGCGCTTCTTCTTCTTCTTCCGCCCAGGTGTTTAACGGACCCCCGTCCCAAGGAGGGACCTACTCAAGCACCCTTCCGAGCCCCCCCCAGAATAGCCCGCCCCCCTCCCCGAGTCTCGGAGGCGGGGGGGGGGGGGGGGGGGCCGCCCCCCGCCCCCCCCCCCCCCGGGCGGGGGGGGGGGGGGGGGGGGAGATCAGTCTCCAGTCAATCGCTCAGCTTCGGTCCGGAGGGGGAAGGTAGAGTCGGTGGAGGGTGGGCCTGAGTGAGGAAGGGTCTCCTCCTTCTCGGCCCCCCTCAGAGGAGAGAGGGGGCGGCCCGCCCAGCTGGAGATTCGGCTCCTCCGCGAAGCCCCGTCTTCCTGGCCGCGCAGCTCCGGCTGCTGCTCCGGCTGCTGTGGCTGCCGCCGCCGGCGAGACGGTATCAGCCGCGTTTGGCGCAAACCGGTTCCCCAACCCGGTCTGGCTCCTGATGTGGAGGCGGGGAGGAGCTGGAGGACAAGCCTAGGAAGGCGGCGGGGGGAGTGGGGGGGAGAGGAGGAGAGAAAGAAAAGCGAATGAGGAGGGGGGTTCAAATCCGGCGCTTCTCCGGATTCCACGGCGGCGACCCTTCGCGGCTGCAGCGTTCTCCATCCGTCTCTTCCCCCCTTTCTTTCTTTCTTTCTTTCTTTCTTTCTTTCTTTCTTTCTTTCTTTCTTTCTTTCTTTCTTTCTTTCT